CCTTGGAGCAGGAAAGGCGGCCAGGAGCTGCTTGGTCAACTTGAAGGGATTGGCCAGGAAAGCTGTTCTCTTCCTGGCTCTCTCTTTCCACCTCCTCCTGTGGAACTCTGCCCTCCGTATGGTCCGGTGTTGTTTCCCTAGGATTGCTCTCAGGTCCGCTAGGCCAAGTCTCTCAATTTCCCCTGCTGTCTTGTTCTGCCTTTTTAGCAGCTTGAGCTCTCCCCTGAGGCATATGTGGGTTTTATTAGTAATATTAATTAATTAATCAGTCCACTTAATGTTATTGCACTTTAAAAAAAGTTTCTTAAAATGCCTTATTCCTTAAAAACCTGTTTGCTGCTATTGTTTTTTACAGTGGTCTGGCGAAACTTCTCCAAGTCAACAAACAAGTAGGTGCACGTTTAAAATACGCTATAAATCTATTCAACTATTGGTATTTCCCACAGCACAGATTCTCTGGAACTGGGCAAAGGAGGCATGTGACAACACATTATCATCGATCGAACAACTTAATCCTCATAATACCTTCCCAGTGACTATGCAGTTGTGTTCCTCCATCATGAATTTGACCCCAGTCTGGTTTGACTTGATCGGGGTGTGTGTGTGTCTGTGTTTGTCTGTGTGTTGTTGTTTGTCTGTGTGTGTCTGTGTGTGTCTGTGTATGTTATATGTGTGTATGTGTGCGCTATATGTGCTGTGTGTGTGTGTGTGTGTTTGACAGTGTAACCCAATGGCCCTTCTGGGGTCAAATTACTGTAGGGAAGAACACAAGTGTTTTAAAGTTCAATCAAACACCCAAAATTCAGTGAAAGTGGTCAAAATGGATTTTATGTGGAGCTCCCATACCATGCAACTATCCATGTTATTTTGGTGAAATTAGATTTAAAAAATGGCCATATTTATGACATAAAGAACATTGAAATGGGGTCAAAAATGACCCCAAGACATTATGAGGGTTAAAAGCAGCATCAGGGATCCTATGTTCTGTTCTTTTGCCCACAGTGGTTGGTTCAGGTTTGGTTATGGTTAGGTGTTGTAGAGTTAACTGGTTAAAATGCCTGATTTCAGGGCAACTTTTTAAAAAAAAAATGCATTAATTTTAGGTATTTTTTCCCCAATGAAATTGCAGGAGAAAGTGAACATTTAACTTTTAACATTTAAGATTCAGTCCTGATATGTCTTTATTGGTCTGTGCTGTAGACCAAGAGGCTGCAAAAATGAATTCAAATTTACAACTATATCATCTCCAATGCCTGTTGTTGTTTGATTATCAGGTGATACATATTAAATATTATAACATTATATATTCACAGTTTCAAAGCATAATTTACATGACATCTTCAATGATCCCAACATGATAAGTTCAACCTACAAGTTGCTCTTAAAAGATAAAAGATAAGTCGAATAGAAATGGTTCGATAAGCAAACATGATGACAATGTTTTGTTTTAATTAGGTAACACGATGCAGTGACAGATGATGGTGGTACCTTTGGACTCTTTGAGGCAGACACAACAGTGGTTTACAACAAAGTGATTACCAACATTGGTAAAGCCTACGACGGGACTTCAGGTAAATACGTCACCTGCAGCCACACTCACAATCACTTATCTGTTTGGTTTGAGTTATGTTGACACATTTTACATACTGTCAAAATAAATATATTGTATCTGTGTATCATAAATCATATCAGTAATCGACCTATTGATTACCAGTGCAATACCAGACCAATAAAAGTCCAATAACCTATATTTTCTAATTAATATATAATTAGTATTTATGTCTTTATGCCTTCATATTGTCTCCCTTCTACTTACCTGTTGTTTCAACAATCAGGAGATCTGTCTCAATCTTAATTTGTAGATTTGAATGTATTTTACAAAAATTTAAATTCATTTAATTTCAGTTCATTTCACGTGTTTAAGAGTATTCTCTATGGTCTATGTTTTAGGGCTGTAACGTCTCACTATCTGTATCTGTTAGTGTCGCAAAAATATCTGTATTTTGAACAGGAGGTGGATGTGGTTTATACATGAAGACATTACACATTGTTAAGTCTTCTTCATTGTCTGCATTAAATTGTTTGCTACTAACATTTATTCACCCATTCAACTTTAACTGCAAACTAGGATTGGGTAATGAACTCCAACTGAATTATATCGATACTACCGAGTAGCGATTCACGTAATTCAAATGGTAAGAGCTCATCTGAGTGAGGTATAAGGAACGGTACACAACCCTATTGCTTACAAAATAATCTAATATTTAAACCATGTAACTGAAAAATATAACTTTTTCTTATCTGTTCACAGTACATTATCTATGCCTATCCAAATGCTATACAATAACAATAGTATTTCTATTCAGTTACACCCCTAACTTTGTACTTTCAATTCGATCTATTTAAACCTTTTAAGGTAAAATAAGTTGTATTTGGGCTTCTGACCGCACAACCACCTTCAGTGGTTTTCTGGTCAGTGGAATGTGAGAATTCAATGACTCCACTTCACTGATCTCAGATGCCATCGACTGTATGTGAGGGAAATTCTTATAATTATCATTGTTCTGCTTAAACAAGCATAGTCCACCATTATATTACAATGTTTTATATTGTTGGGAAACTAAATACTCATTGTAAAGGAGTTTAGCCTGGACAGGGGTTGTAACCTCTTCCTGTGTATTTGCACAACAAAGGGATATATGTGCTTAAAGCCAAGAAAATGTAAAGACCAAGTAAAGTAAGGTTGAATAACATCTTGAGTGAAATATTTGGATGTGGCCTATTGTCTCATTAATCAGGATATGTTTGTTTTAAGCTCTGGTGGTATAATAGTCTTAGGACAGGGTCTCAGATTCTTAAAAAATGAGCTTTCATTCTCTCGGATAGGGCCGCTACTCATCCTTCAGGTTTACACCTCACTGGGAACATCTCCATGTTGCCGACACTGTACTCCCTGGTGGCGCTACTCTGCCACCCTTTTCACGGGCACTGCCATTTGGGCAAGAAGCTTAAAAGTTTTATCAAGCATATTGTAGTTGGTATATTGTTGGAGGAATGTCCATGAAGGCATTTTCTTTAATACTATATACTCAATCGAATTTTTTTCTGAAATGCGGTTCTTAATGCATGGTACATTCCGTTACTAGTAACTTACTAGTTTCCCTAAACAAAAATCACAACTCCCCCCAAATCAATAGAAAATGTTTGTGGAATGTCTCAATACACTATTTGAATCAGTACAAGGTCACGCGAGCCAATCGCTGGCGTTACCTCACCACTGAACACAAAGCCCCACACCTAAACTGGCAGCCAACACAACCTCGGTGCAGCCCACTTTTGGGTCCAGCCCGAGCTCAGTGACTCACCTACGGCACACCATGGCAGGCGGGGACACACTCAGGTTCAAGTGTCTCTTAACCCCAAAAGTAATTTTAGTTTTTAAAACTATCGACCAAAGGAACATAATTGATAGAGTCTTGTAATCTGATAAGTCGGTGGTGGTTGCAGTAGTTGGCACAATAGTATGTAGTAGGATGTTTAGGGGAGAGGCAAAATAAAGGAGGGAAAAAGGTCCTAACTTCGGGTGAATTAATTATTTGACTTCCAAGCCCTCTCTTGAGGGTTCCTTGAAATAATGACTTCCACAGAAGGCGAGTTACTTGGAGTCCCGTCCAAGTTTTGAATCATGAAATCCAGACTACATGTGCGGTGCTATGACTGGTCAGGCGTTTTTTGGCCTGTCCTATCTGCAGACTACCAGAAAGAAGGACACAAACATACATCACTGACGGAACTAACCTTCCCTGTGAATAAAAAATTGGTAATCGTGAGGATCTTCTGATTGCCTTATAGATCCAACTAAAATCAATCCAGAACTCAACAAAAATTAAGTAGTCTGCGCGGTGGATTATAAATGTTTGAGCCATCATGTTGCACCCAGCAGGTTTGAGACCCCTGCCTTATGTGCCTATGATTTTGCCTTCTTAAAAGCAGTGACAGAGACCATTTCACTGACACATGAATACTTTTACTTTCATAATTGGTCAGTATTTCAGCAAAAACAGAACAGTAAATCCAAACCTGTCACACAGGTTTATTTCGAAAGTATGTAACGATATGGACAAAAATAGTTTCTCCGTCCACTTAATGTTGACTTGCCCTCTCAAAAAGGGTTTTAAATTACTCCCCTTTTCCTTAAAATAAAATAGTTGAAATATAGAGATACCACAGTGTACAGACTGAGGGTCATCCTTTTTATAAAAAACATACACTAAACTACTACCTAAAATATATTGGTGCTTTCATATTTTCCCTCTTGCTATTATGCATGCATTCAGGTGAAAACAATATTATTGTTATCTTCTCACGACACAGCCAAAATATTTACTTACATAAAATAAAACAGCACTGGCTTTACATCTGTTTTTCATCCCTTAATCACAACCTTGAACATGGAAAAGTTCATCTATGGCTTTTTCATGCACTTCGTATTACTCAACTATAATTCCATGTTTGCTATGTTTTGCAATGGTCTGTGGAACCTCTGCAAATCATTAAACAACGTAGTGCTCTTCCTGAGAAGTATACATACCAATCTATATCTATCATTTTTGGCATGGGGGTCATCCACACAGATTCTT